TGTGGGTCAAAATCCACTTCTTTGAACCACAAAAGCTCACACTAAACTAAATTTGTGAGTTTAAAGGTGCTACAATATTTTGCCTTTCTTTGTTCCTTTCACTTTTGTCAACATTGCTGTGGGGGACAGCCCACACTTCAATCCTGTCAGTGGATTTAGAAGCACTTGACATCACAGGGTGTTGGAAGCCACAATAAAGATATTAGGGGGGAAAGTATGGCTCTAATCCTATAGAGCATTGGAGGGTCTTCATGAGTGATAAGATGGAATGAGAGGGATCTAATGTCAGAGAATGAGATTTGATCAGGTAACCTGCTTCTACCTCCTGTGGAAACTTCCACAAATCTTCCCTCTCTGACTCTGAAACTCCAACATTGATCGAGGCAAAAGACAGAAAGGTTTGGTTCCACAGGATCCAGAACTATCCCATTCCTCTGCCATGCCTTAGACCTGGGCGAAATCTACACCAGCCCTAGAGCTACCACACAGCATTTTCCTCCCTTTACAATCAACAGAGAAATAGTATATTTTGTGTGTGGAAACAAGTGAGCACTGCAACAGGTAGGAGGACTGGTTAGTCCCCCACCTTTCTCTCTCTGTCACTACCCAATACAAGAAAATTGTCTGCTCTTAAAGAAATAATCCCATTACTGTTGCCCCTAGACATCTATCATCCTACCTTCCTCCTCCCCATTACTTTATCTATCCTCTTAGTTGCTCATTTTCCGTACAGCATTATCCATTTTAATGTCATGTCTGATTCCTGAATCCAGCTGACAGAGTCAAGAGGAGGAGGCGGAGGCGGCAGGAGAGGCCTGTGGAAGTCGATGCAGTTTTTATCTGGGAGGCAGGGAACCTGCTCTCACCATCCGTAAAGCCTCTTTGAAAAGATGCAAAGGGCATCAGAGTATTGCAGAGTTTTGAATACCTGGTAAAGTTCCTTTTTGCTACGTTGTAGAAGTACAGAGACTCACAGAGGAGAATACAGTAGCTACAAGTTCACAGGAGTCCACCCATTTCTCATTAACTGGCACTTAAAATCTCAGTAACTCTGAGACATTCGTAGGAGAAAGAATAAAAAGCATGTCTTTTCTCTCAGTTGCTTGAAATTATAGAATTGTGTATGCTGCTTTCTTTACTCCACTCACATTAACAACCTTTCCAAACAGATCAAGAGCTTTTTGTCCCCTGTATTCTGAATTGGCAAAGAGAAATTCAAATGAGGTGGCAAATGGTGAAGTGATAGGGGCAGAAATCATGCAGAGCCCCTCAGCTGTTTTACTGATGTTGACATGACTTCAGAACAGTTTTCCATTTTTGCCCCATTTATTTATTGCTCAGTAGCCACTCAGGTCTTACACAGAAACTCAGAAGATACAATTCTGCAGAGAATATATCAACTTCACCCTTACCTGGATGAGTGGAGCCTGGCAACAGTCACACATGCATTGGTAACAATCAAACTGGACTACTGCAATGAGCTTTACGTGGGGCAGCCTTTGAAGACAGTCCGGCAACTACAACTGGCACAGAACCAGGCTGCGTGGCTGGTAAGTGGTGCTGCTGCACGGACTCATATCAGGCTGGTTCTGAAAAATTTACACTGGCCGCCGGTTGCTGCTCAGGCCCAATTCAAAGTGTTTACTGTGACATATAAAGCCCTAAACGGCTTAGGACCTGGTTACCTAAAGGACCACCTTCTTCCATACAAGCCTGCCTGTAGTCTAAGATCAGGCCAGGAGGCCCTTCTGAAGGTGCCATCCCTGAAAGAGGTTGGGGGATGGCATGCCGAAATAGGGCCTTCTCGGCTGTTGCCCCCCAACTTTGGAACACCCTCCCTATAGAGATCAGCGTGGCTCCAACACTTTTGGCTTTTCTGTGCCAGGCAAAGACCTTTCTGTTTAGCCAACATTTTAATTAAATAGTAACCTTTAGCTGCCCATATGAGCAGCAGGATTTATTAATATTAATGTTTTAATAACTGTTTTTAATATAGGGTATTATTATAATATTGCCTATTTTAATGGTTTTAATGTTTTTAAAGTTTTAATATTGTTGTACGCCGTTCAGAGACCATTAGTAATGGCGTGGCTAAAAAATCTTGTAGATAAAATACAACTTGTGCTATTAACAGCTAGCATCCCAACTTTAGGTCTCCAGATGTTCTTGGATTACAACTCCCAGAAATCCTGGCCAGCACAGCTAGTAAAAAAGCCTTTTGCGAGTTTTAGCCCAAGAACATCTGGAGACCCAAGGTTGGGAACCAATAATCTAGATGCTGGTAATCTAGATAGATTAAAATGCATTATATCACAGTGATTGGATAATAAAAATTAGTACATGATGTGTTCTCAAGCACTCAATGGCTTTACTCCATGCCCTATTTGATGATTTTTGCAGCCTTATAAGACGTATAATGCTTTGCATTGCCCAACGAAAATGGAACTGTACATAGAGGGGAGTTGGTCCCTGTTTTGGTCCCTGTTCCTAAGGGCTTAAGACATGAGGTCTTTGAACTGGCATACATGGGACATTCTGTGGGAAAATGCATCATGACTTAAGAACAACCTGCAGGACAGTACCTAGTCTTTAAATTAATAATTAATGTCTGAAAGAAATAAAAAGTAACACTTTACCAACATGTTGTTCGTGACTTACCAAGCAATGATAACACACTTCAAGGATTTTCAAAAATGACAATGAACACGAACACATTTCAGTTTTTAAAACTAATGCATCATGCTCTGTGTTCAAAGTACTGTATGAACTGGCTTTAAAGAAAAGTCCTGAGAATTCTCTGCAGTTCACGAAATGCTGTGAGTCAGTAATGATCTTAGACAGCTGGACGTGACATTTCACTTGTCATTTCTGAAACAGTTGAACAGTCACAGGTCTCTCCATGATTTTTCTCCCCAAGGGGATGAATACAGCTGGTGCATGTGCTTTTTTGACAGTCAATGCCTTCACATCAGTTCAGGTGGGGTGATCACTTGAGTTAATATAGAAAAACAATGGGGTTATGTGCATGGGTGCTGGTGGCTGGCAGGGTGGGGAGAGAGGAAGCAAGGTGGCACTCATGGGGTGTCAGTTACACTCAGCTGGGCACCTTTGTCTCCAAACCATTTCTTGTTTAAAAAAGGCTTCATGCCAGCAGTGCAACAAAGCTGCACTAAATCAGCCAGGAGGAGAGGGAGAATTGTCAGTTAGCAGCTTCTGGTGCAGCCCTACCTCCTACAAACCTGGACAGCTCCAGTAGAAGGTGCCTTAACAAGCTGCAAACAAGCACTGATTGTGAATTTCCTCCTCTCACTGTGTGTGCTGACTCCTGTGGTCAGCAAAAGCAAATTGACTTGGAAAAATTTGAGTTACTGGGTGCTAATTCACAGAGGATCGATGCTGTGTAGTTACACACTGAGTTAATAAAGATGTGTCTGGCTTACAACACTTCAGATGGCAGGTGGGGCTTACCTGACTGAATGTGAAGTTCCATTAAACAAAGAAGATGGAAAAGTTTCATATCAGAGAACAGGGTACCCTAGCTTTTCCTATGACATCCTAGTTTTCTATGCATAGGAACAATTTCCAATGGGAGGGGAGCCATTTCCATCTATTGCAGCACAAACAAGGAGCCTTATGGTACCTTAAAGACTAAGCCATTTTATGGGGCACCTGTTTTCACTGAGCCCAGACCACATCATTAAAAAATTCTCATTCGGGGAAAATTGAATACGGGAGCTTCCAGCGGTAAGCTGAAGCTCAGACATTATTTCAACTCTTTAGCAACAACTTTTCCAGTCTAGAATCTAGATCTTATTAGTCTTTTAGAGTTAAGATGTGTCATCAGTTGTCAGTGACATGGAACAATATTCTCCCAATTTCCTCACAGTAAAAATATGTTTTGTTCTTAGGATGGTCTTGTCCTTTTCTCTTGTCTGTACAGTTGTTATCTGTCTCGTAAGATTAAACCAGACACATAAACACAGCATAATCAAATTGTCAGTGCATAAACTTTGCAGTAATATGTAACATAACTGTATGTATCACTCACTGTTTTTCATCACAGATCAAGTGGGGGAAACTTATATAAAACTGAGTAAGTCTTGATTTGAGCAGTTCCAGAGCTGCCAGGTATTCACAGTGTGGTGTAGTGGATAGAGTGATGGACAAGGACTCTGGAGAATAGGATTTAAATTTCCGCTTGGCCATAGACACTCACTTGGGGAGTGGAACTGGTAAAACCTTAAATATCTTACTTACCTAGAAAGTCCTATTAGGCTTGCAATCAGTCTGTTCTGACTTGATGGCACAGAACACACAAGTACTCACTATGATAACAGGAGACGATTTTTGAAATCGATTATTATTATTTAAGGAAATACGTAGGTCTTGTGGAACTGGTAAAACTTTAAATATCTTACCTAGAAAGTCCTATTAGGCTTGTAATCAGTCTGTTCTGACTTGATGTCACAGAACACACAAGTACAGTACTCACTATGATAACCGGAGACGATTTTTGAAACCGATTATTATTATTATTTAAGGAAATAGGTATATTAGAATGGGAATATTTCCACGATCATAACTTATCTTTCAGTTTCTGATTCCTTTGACCTGAAGGACACCATTAGATCCCATCACGCGGGGGAAAAAAGTTATTCATAGTCCAGTCCATGTCGTTTGGAAGAGCCCAGTCCTATACACGTGTTTATTCAGAGGACCATCCTATTAAACATAATAGAGCTTACGCGCAGGTAAAGGATTCGAGGCGGAACTTCACTGATTTTAATAGAACTGTCTTAAAACTAAATGCCCCAAAAGGGAACGCAGCTCCTCCGAGAGGAAGAGATTTTACGCAAACCGAAGGAACAAATGAGCATCCTCTCACGGTGGGTTGACCAAAACTTCATTTCCCATAGTGCACTGAGGCTCGGCGGACTGCCGTTCCTCACAACGGAGGGCACGAGAGCGGGGTAGGTGGGACCGCCCCCGTTGCTTGACGGGAGTTGTAGTCAAAGCGCGGTTGCGGCCTTGAGGAAGTTTCCCAGTCCAAGAGGTTTCCAGCGCCGGACGTTAGTGGAGTTTGCGTTTAAAGAAAACGAAGCGCGGCCACGACGGCGCTTCCACGGAGTGTTCCTTCTGCTGGGATGGCCACTGGCTTGGAAGGCGGGACGGTTCGGTCGGCTTAAGGACCAGAGACCATCGTTTGCAAACGATGGGATAAGTAGTTGTTGGGGGTGGTTGAACAGCTAAGGGGGTGTGAGTGTCACTGGCGATTTAAGAGGAGGCGGGGAGCGTCCGTTTTACCTGGGAAATTACGGAGTAACGAGGAGAGGCTGCGGAATTCGCATTGCGTCCGCGGCGCTTTACAGAGCAATCAGAAGAGGTAAGACCCATTGAGTGCAGTGGGGCTTCCTGGCAGGTGAAAGGCTGGGAGGGGGGCTGTCTGTAAAGACGTAACATATTTATTGTCGCCCCTGAAAGGTTGTACTAGATAACCCGTGTAGTGTAGTGGGTAGAGTGATGGACTACTAGAACTTAGCAGCCCTGGGTTCAAATTCACACTTGGCCATGGAAACGCGGGGGAGTGTGAGTGTCTGAAAGTAGTAAATATAGTAATCACGTGCGGTCAAGTCAATCCTGCCTTCTGGTGACCCGTTTCAGGTTTTTGTACTTAACAGAGTACAGTACTCAGAAGTGATTTGCTGTTCCCTTCTGACGGTGCCCTGGGACTGTTGTGCAGCTTGCCCAAGGCTACACAGGCTGGCTCTTCTGGGATGCACAGTGGGGGAATTGAACTCTTAACCTCTGGCTCTGCAGTCAGATACCTAAGTCAATGGGCTATCCAGGCATCTGCAACTGCTAAACCTAGCCCTTCAATGGCTCACTTCCCTGGGAGGCCCTATTCCGGTGGCTATAAGTTGGTTCTGACCTGATGACATGTAACACAATACAGTAGGGCTCCCGTATCCGCAGAATCAGTATCTGCGGTTTCACTTATCCACAGCTGAAAATATTTTTTTTAAAAAGATCCAGAAAAAAATTATTTTCAGATTATTATAACAGGCCACCAGATGGAGTGAGAGACTATGCTCTGAATAGTTGTGAGTGAAGAATATGCACAGTGGTCCTCAAACTTTTTGACACCAGGGACCAGTTTAGTTTAAGGCCATTCTCCCAAGGACCTGAGGGCGGGGGGGGGTGTTACTTATTGTGCAGTAGGTTGTTGGAGGATAGCTTTGAATCGAGCTCATTACATGTATTGTGCCTGGACAGATGAGTGGCGAGCAGGAGGTGAGCTGCAATTGAAGCTCTGCCTCCTGTCAGATCAGCTGGGGCATTAGAACCTAATAGGAGCACGCTGACAGGAGGCGGAGTTTCGCTCGCCACTCACCTCCTGCTAGCTACTAATAGGAGCGCGCTGACAGGAGGCGGAGTTTCGCTCGCCACTCACCTCCTGCTAGCTGCTCATCTGACCCGGAGGGTCCGGTCCTTCCAAGCCCATGGACTGGGACCATTCAGCAGCCCAGGGTTGGGGACCCCTGACATAGAATGGCCACGAATACCCTCTAGTGACCAATTCTGATAATGCAAGTGAAAATAATTTTTTTTCTTTTCCCCCTTTTATTTGTAATATTTTTCTTTTTTCTCTTATCTGTGGGATTTGTAGTATGGGGTTGCTGAGACAATCAGTTGGGTTTTAAAGGGTGCAAAAGTGATTTCTGCCTGTGGTGTGGGCTCAGTTATGTATCATGTAAAACCAGGCTGAATTTTGTTTGCAAACTGTGCACCTAAAGGGATGAAGTGTTTTGACTTGTAAAGGTCTGGAACTTTGTGTAGAGATTGATGTTTGTGTGTGTGTTAAGAGCTGAAGTGTTTTGAAGGGTACCCACTTGTGTCAGTTTCCCCACTTTTGCTTCTGGTCAACTGATTTCATGAGATTTGTACTGTTTTAAAAAGCCTCATAGCCTATTGGGTTGCACGTGATTCTGGTTAGAAAGAAAGATGTGCATACATGAAAAATTGAGCTTTGCCCACATCACTGGGCTACAAAACTATTTGTTGTTGTTTAGTCGTTAAGTCATGTCCGACTCTTCGTGACCCCATGGACCAGAGCACGCCAGGCCCTCCTGTCTTCCACTGTCTCCCGGAGTTGTGTCAAATTCATGTTGGTTGCATCGATGTCACTATCCAAAACTATTAGTTGCCTCTAACTATATAAGATTTTCACAAGATACAGAGTTATACAGTATATTTATTGCCCCCTACATAGGATGCTTTGCTGGTTTTACATGTGAAAAGGTGTGGTTAGTACTTTTTTTGTTGCTAGTATGATTCAAGCCGCCCAGAGACCTTTGGGTAGAGTGGGCACATACAAGTTAAACAAACAAACAAACAAACAAACAAACAAACCTTGTTTCTGTTTGCAGCATTGCCACTGCTTTTATATCTGCCTGTCCATCCATGGATCAAAAGTTCTTTTCTAATATTTTGCCTTATTTGTTCCTGTAGGGCAGAGGCTTGGTTCAGGTGCCCTCTTTCTCTTCTGTTTCTGGATTTTAAAAAACAACAACAACTGTGCAGGCTATATTTAAAGGCCCGAGTCATTTGATTTGGCGTTTGGTTGTATTTGCCACATGTTCGATTGTCGATTTGTCAGCACCTTGTCTGGGGTTGTCAGTCAGACGGTATGCAGCACTAATGGGTAAACTGGCAAAATAGATCTAACTTATGCTGTGAGATAATCCAAACTGAGTTAGCCAAGGGAATATCATCCTGTTTTGATACCGGTGCCTACATAAATAAATAAATTGCATGACTCAACCCTACATTTAACACTGAAAGGTATTCAATGTAAGGAAAAGTCAGATCTTTAAAAAAAAACATCAAAAGTGGGCAACACAAATCATACTGTTCTAAACTGAGAAAACAGACAAGTTTGGTTGCTGGTGTGTCTAAAGAGTCTGCATTGTGCCTGTGTCCCCTTTTTTTTAAAGAATTTGTCCCTCTCCTTCTTTGGTGTGGTATAGATTTCAACACAATGACATGTGTGTGTTTAGTCGTTTAGTCGTGTCCGACTCTTCGTGACCCCATGGACCAGAGCACGCCAGGCCCTCCTGTCTTCTACTGCCTCCCGGAGTTGTATTATATGTCCTCCACATAGTGGCATGACATAGTGGCATGTATTTTTGTAGTTGTCAGTGCAGGACACACAATGCAGATTTAGTAGAGTTCAAATGTAAGCTTTGTATAAAAGGAGCTCCAGTTTATTGGGAAGTTTGTTCTAAATTAGAGAGGCCTTTCTCCTGCTATCAAATTGATCAGGTTAGGGTCCCAGTGCTTCTTTAATCCCTTCCTCAGCTATCCTGTGAAGCCTTGCTGAGGCACCCTGTTGACAGGGCAACTCTGAGGGATCAAAAGAAAACCTGTCCTTCCATGACAAGCCTTCCTCTCCACAAAGGAACTTTTTTGTTGTTTATGTGGCACTCAGACAGTTCGTTCTTAGTTCTTTAAAATATGAAAGTTCAACTGAGGCTCTTTGTACAAATGCTTCATCCCTTTTCTGGGCATAAGAATAGCTTATATATCACTCATGGTGAAGCAGTTCCCTCTTCAGATATTTTGCCTTTTCATTCTACTACAGTATTTCTGAGTAGAAAAGTGAATCAGCGAAGCAGAAGCTGTTTTATATGTTTTTATTCCTCTATTTTGAAACTACCTTTCATATACAAGAAAACGACCACTCCAAAAAGGTAAAAACTTGTAATCCATAAAAAAAGTATATTCAGAAAAAGGTACTTAAGCTGTATTTTTAGAGTATATTTCTTTAAAATATCAGTTATAGCCTTCAGCAACATTAACACACAGCGGTAAAATTAATAATGTTCTAATGCATAGAATGATGTCATTTTGCCAGCATGAAAATTGTATTGAAGGCCATGTTGTCAATTTCTCCTGTCTCTCTCCTCCTTTCTGAAATGGCCTGTATTTATCTGGGTTTCTTCTATAAACAAATTGAAGATTATCTACTTGCAGTGCTAGGTTCTATCTATTAACATACTACTGTTGACACTAAGGTGCTTCTGCAGCAACAGTTCTTCTACAGTACTTGCTTTTAATCAAAACATCCCTATCTTACATGGTACATTTTTCTGGCCTTGCATAGCACATTATCTGGCCTAGCATAGTGCCCTGTCGTATAAGCAGATGCGTAATTATTTATCAGATACTTCAATGTATACAAGCTACATGCTTGCTAGCCATGCAACTTAAGAAAATACAGTATGTAATTTATATGCTTGTCTTTTAAGCATCTAAGCAGACTTATGAAACACAGCAAAAATGCAGGAAGATATTCACTGTCATTTGGGAAGAACTGGAGTCTTCATTTCCAAAAGCCAACTTTGACAAAGAGATGAAATAGCAATATATGATATATAACTGCTGGGTAGCTCAGTAGTTTATAGGCATCTGGTTGTGGAGCTAGTGGTTGGGGGTTCAATTCCTCACTGTGCCTCCTTGATGGAGGCTTGACTCAATGATGGATTGAAAATATGTCTCTGATTAATCTATATAAAAATTAAAATTATATTGTAATCCAAATACTTAAAAATAACCCCTGGCTGAGATCCTGTTATGCAGCTCCACCCACACAATGGAAATGTCATTGGCAGCTGCAGATTGCTGCTGATTAAAGGCTTTTTTTTGTCATCCTGAGGTGCACATCCTTTGCATGCGATGAGACAAAGTCTTGTGTACCCTGAAATCGGAAAAGGAAGCCTTTAACTAGCAGCAATCTGCAGCGGCTTCTTATGTCATTGCCATTATTCAAGCGGACCCTGTCCAACAGGGTTTGGGCCACAGTTTTTTGTTGACTTGGTCAACACACACAGAGCAGAGCTTGCTGTCGAGGGCCCGGCAGGTGTGGAACCTCTCCTGATCTCCTACAGCTCTGACCTTCAACCCAGTGGGTTTACGACAGTACTGTATTTCCCTAAGGGAATTTTGTAACCTGAGTGACACTCTTTCATATATAAGGGTTTAGTCATGCCCATTTGATAACATACATATTCTAGAGTTGAGTTGCCCTTTCTGTGTACTCTGCTTTGTGAACTCCTGGTTCTGAAAAGCTACTAACAAATAACCAAAACAAACAATAAAACACAGCTGCAGCCACCACTGGCTAGCAGTGTCTGAAAAGAGATATGGTATCTCCTCGTAGAAGAGAGAGTCCCTCTTTTAAGGTGACACTTGTTGCAACACAGACATATTGTATATAAAATATAAAACTATATAGCGTGGCACACATACTGTGGCATGCACTCCCCTTGGAGTTATGAAAAGTTTCCAGTTTTAGGAAGCATGTGAAGAAACATCTTTTTATACTGCCATATGATGATGCTTAAATTAAGGGGATGATTTTAACTTTTTAAAGATTTATTAATTTATTGGTTTTTATGGTCTTGATTAGCTTTGTTTTATTTAATCAATTTTATGACTGGATCTATTGTTACTGTTTTTATTATGGTTTATGATAGGCTTCCTAGAGACTATTTAGTATGGAGGAAAATAGAGTTTAAATATTATTATTTTTATTAATGATATTAGTAATTTAGAGATGGGGCTTTGTGTTAATATATGAATATGAAGCCCCCCTGGCACAGGTGACCAGCCTGATTACAGTGGACCCTTGACTTACAGACGGCTTGACTTACAGACTTTTTGGGTTACAGACTTCTCTGGCCGCAAAATTTAGGTTTGACTTGCAGACTGAGATTTGACTTACAGACCAGAAAAAAACCAAAATGGAACAAAAACGGCCTGTTATGGGATTAATCGGTTTTCAATGCACTGTAGGTCAATGGAGACTTGACTTACAGACTTTTTGACTTGAGAACCGCCTTCCAATATGGATTAAGTTCTCAAGTCAAGACCCCACTGTATTTCCCACTCTCAGGCACAACTGGACCACTTACCATGCAGGGCACATGCCCACGTCATCTTCTGTGCCTCAGTGGTAGTAGCTTGGCTGCCATAGCCATGCCTCCCTGCTTGCCCAGCCACTCTGGTAAGGGGGCAGGAGGATAAATTTCCTTGCTCAGTTGCGGAGTGGCTGGGCAAGCAGGGAGACGGGGCTGCGGCAGCTGAGCTACTGACATGATTGGGGTACAGAAGATGATGCTGGCCAAGTGCGCCACATGGAAAGCGGTCTGATGGGGCCTGGGGGTGGGAGGTAATCATGCCAGCCACCTGTGCTGGAGGGGTTTTCGCATTTGTATATGAATATGAATGCCCCTCTTTAGTAATAATAACAAAGGGAAGTGTGTCTTAATTCCAATGCAAATTTAATTGACGATCAACCAAAAAGTCCTGTGATTGATTCATTAAGATTGCTGTAAACCTCATTCATTGTTTACTTCCACCTCCAGGTATCAGAGACTTCCAGTGAACACTTAATGGAAGATGTCATCGAGTTTGACAGAAGAACAGAAAAAGAAGATTGAAGAAAATAGGCAGAAGGCTTTAGCAAGGAGAGCAGAGCGACTGGCAGCTCAGCAGGGTGTGATTGCTAAACAGCATCCTGGGCTGCAGAGTCCTGGTGGCTGCCAAGGAAACCTGCTGGAACCTTGGAAGAAGGATGACCACCACACCCACCTAAATAGCCACCGTCTCCACCTACTCAGCAAACATGGGATGCCAAAGGGCCCTCAAATGCCACATGGTCACTGTAGCTCAAATCAACCGACTGCTCATTTGAGTAGTGCTCCAAAGGAAAACAGTTCTGTCGTTTCCAGCCGGGAGACAGGCAGGCAGTTGAATAGTGCCGGGCATCCCTCAACAGGGATGAAGAACTCTCTTGGGCATCCCTCTGATTGGAGCGGTGGGGACCAAGGTCAGCCAAACCAGCACGATTCTAATATGTTGCAGCTACTGAAATGTGGTGCAGTAATCAACAACCTTGACAAACAAGATCAAGGTAGATTAGATGTTGATAAAGACCTTCACAATCTTAAAGACTTGCAAATGCAAAACAGGTCTACCCTTGACCCTGGTGACATGAAACATATGCCCATACCCGCCACCAGCAGCACTGCATTGAATGATGGTGAAACGCAGGCAAGTACCAAAAAGGAAGGTAGCAGCATACTGCAGTTTTATGGCTCGAAAAAAACTTCAGCTCCTGTAGGGCACAAAGAATCAAAACCACTCATTTCTGCTGGTGCAGGAAATGTATCTGAGCTACCCGTACAGAGGAAATCACAGAATTGCCTCCAAGGAAAATGCGTGCAGCATTCTGAAGGCAGATTCCGCGTTGAGATAGGATACAATGCCCAACTCATTGAAATGTTCAGGAGCATACCGAGCAAAAGTTATGGTAAGGCAGTGGATTGTTGACTACATCTATCATGCAACAAACATCAGTTTTCAATGAAGATATTTGTCCCTATACAGTAAGACCGCCATATCTACAGGGAATTAATTCCAAGCCCTCCCCCATAGATTCCAGAAATCAGGATATAGCAGCCCTATATATAGCTCTAGTGGCTAATTTTGGTAATACCCCTTGGAAATGCATATTTCTGAGTTTTTCATTTAATATTTTCAGGCAGCGGATAAATGAAACCGCAGGTACTGATCCCTTGGCTATGGCAGTCCTAATGTATATAAACATTGAAACTTGGCTATATTTCATGTTTTGTCTTGGGGGGAAAAGTAGAACAAATATTTAGTTCTTAAGTATGGATTAAAATGTAAACCAGTGAGGACACACGAGTGCAGGATATATGTATTGCTTGTGCAACGTGTTAAGCGAAAGAGGCGAAAATGTGATTCTCAGAGTCCCCGTAGGCTTATATATGCGTCTTCCTTCTCAATGTTAAGGGTTCCTAATCCATCTCTGATACTTAGCTAGTCAAGAATTTTGAATCTGAGAAGCATCTTGCCCATTCTTAATTTGGCCAGAGGGTGTGGTATATTTGATGGACTAGGTCTAAGAGACCAGAGTTCGAATGTCTGCTTGGCCCTGGAAATTCACTGGAGGGTGGAGAAGTTGCACTCTTAAAACTACTCTCTAAATATCTCATGTACCTTGAAAACTTTATTAGAATTACCGAAGGTCAGATGCAACTTGATGGCACATAACACATAATGGAGGGTTGAACCAAAAGAACAAGTATGTATGTATCTTTCTGCTCAGATATATGTATAATTCTGGTGATTTCTCACCTCATACATCCTGTTAGAGAAGACTCTTCTCTTTCGCCGTACGGAGTAAGGAAAGAAGGGAAGGAGGCATGTCAGTATTGCCATTAGAGGCAAACATGGCACTCCCAAATGTGACTGTGACAGTGGAATGTGGAATGTTCAGCTTTCTGAACATCTGAGTAGAACATTTTTTAAAATCCCAAATCACTTTCCACCTTTTATTCTTCCACTTCAGATCCTGCAACAAAGATGTGGAATTTCAGTCTTGAAGACTATAATGACTTCAGTAAGTAACGGTACAGTACAGCTCAAAGTTGAGAATCCTTTAGAGAGAGAATTATTTCACACACATTTAGAGAGCCTGTGAGACCTTTATGAGTATGATTTGCTTAATTAATGGCATAAGGGAAATGGTTTCTATTTGGAACCTGGAGTTTAGGTGTATAGGAAGAACAATCTGTCTCATACAAGAGTTGAATTAGGGCTGTCCAAAGCAGAGGGAGGTTGTTTTGGAAAGCAGCATTTTAAAATGGTTTTTAAAAGTCAGTTTAAACTGTTTCACTGGATTTTGGGAATAGAAGAGTGTTTGCAATTTGATTTTCTTAGTGGAGTTGTCATAATTCACTACTAAGATAAAGTTCTAAATGCCTGCAAAATATTTATTGTCGAGGCATAACATGAGTCACAAAGCCATAATCTCTGCTGAGTTAGACGTGGGTACCATAATTGATAAAATATGTATCATGTGAGCTTGTTAAGTAAGCATCTTTGCACACTCATAGCTTTTGTTGTTCTGCCTGTCTTCTGCATCTAAAAGACTCCTGTACACTCCGCCCCCATTCTGTTCACGTTTCTGTTTCCCTGGGGAGTTGATGGATTTTTTTAAAACTTTCCTTCCCTCACCCTTTGCAACCCTGCTTTTCTCTCTAGTGTCAGCAGTGAAGCAACTCCCATCCATAACTTTGACACCTCTAGTGGGTATGAAGACAACCTCTGGGGCCAGTGAGTCATCTTCTGCTGGAAGAACTTCTGCCTTGAGATCCCTCTTGCAGACTTGTACTGGCTGGCAGAAGCCGTCAGCAGTCGTCAGAGGGAAATGTGTGCTGATCTCATACTCCCGGTTTGAAGTCGATATTGGCTATGTCTCCAGTGTCATAGGTATATTCAAGCAGTTGGATTCTCGGAATTATGGTGAGTGGCACAGGCTGTCTTTAATGTCAACAGAGCAAAGATTTCTACAGCTTCAACTTAGTTGTCTTCCTTCCCTTGTTACAGAATCTGCTTTGTGTGATTACTATAACTAGTGGGGACTTTTAATTACGATAGATACTAAACTCAATTATATGACCATATTAGAAAGGATGTGTTAATTAGAGTCTACTTTTCTACCTCAGGCTCATCATATATATATATTTATTTGCTATGTCATTTTCATTTAACTACATTGAACATTAATTGAGGTAATAGAGAGGGTCTTTTTAGTTGCTGCTCCCAGGTTGTGGAACATGGGAGGTTTGGTGGACTCCCTCCCGACTGCCTTTTTCTACTAGCAGGCCCTACCTTTCTCTTAGGTAAGCTTCTGGCCACAGATTGGGCTGCAAAGAAAGATCCTGCACTTTAAAACTCTTTGAGTGTGTGTCATTTTTTTGAAGTGTTTGTTTATAAATTATTTTTAAGCTCAGTGGTCTTCCAATATTGGTATATATTTAATTGCATTCTTAATATTTCAATTAATTTCATCCCTCCAGTAGATCCAGAAAAAACTTGAATGACATGCTATTTAGTTCTCATTATCTGTTTAATATTTTAATTTTTTTGTATCTCTTCCCCCTATTTTCTGAGCTGCTGTATTGAGGGGGAGAGGCAAGATATAAATGTAATGAAGTAACTGCATGGGCTACTATCCTGTTGTGCTGTGCTGCTGAGGAGGGGCTATCCCATAGGCCTCCCCCTCCCCGATTTTGGCAGGTTTGTGTTGGTACACCCAGTGTCACACTGCTTGTGAGATTAGTTATGCCACAGGTTGCATGATCAGGTGTGCAAAGAGGGATCTGCCAAAGTAGGGAAGTGCTTATGTGATCACACATATGCTCCAGATAAGATATTGGCTGTTAATATTAAACAAGTAACTGTGAAAGCAAATAACAGATTAATTATATTATTTCTTTAAGTGTGCTTCTTTGGAGATGTTTTCAGGCTCAAGTAACATGTTTAGGTAAAGGTAAAGGTTCCCCTTGACCATTTTTGTCCAGTCGTGTTCGACTCTAGGGGGCGGTGCTTATCCCTGCTTCCAAGTCATAGAGCCAGCGTTTGTCTGAAGACAATCTTCCGTGGTCACATGGCCAGTGCGACTTAGACATGGAACGCTGTTACCTTCCCACCGAGGTGGTCCCTATTGATCTACTTGCATTTGCATGCATTCGAACCGCTAGGTTGGCGGGAGCTGGGACAAGCAACGGGAGCTCACTCCGTCGCGTGGATTCGATCTTACGACTGCTTGGTCTTCTGACCCTGCAGCACAGGCTTCTGCGGTTTAGCCCACAGCGCCACCACGTCCCTTGTTTAGATAAGGCCTAAATTGTTTATCTCTGGCTGCTTCCAAGCTTCCCTGTAGAAAAGTATGGAATGGCTTGTCAGAAGCTTTCCAACAGTTCGTGGGGGCATTTTGGATAGGTGGTATGTTTATGTCAAGTCAGGACAGCAACAGAGGATGAGGTCCCCCTATATTGATATAGGGTATATATATATATATGATATGGGTCAAAGGGATGTCAGATCAGCAAAGCTTAGGAACTCTTTGGCCTGTGACAAGGATCTATCTGCCTACTTATTTTAACACCTCTATATATACAGTATTTCTACTGTAATTGTAAAGGACTGTGAAAAGAAAAGTGGCTGTATTTCTTACCTGCCTGTTTCTTTATTATGGCTTTTTCAGATATGAAGACGAGAAAATGGAGTTTCCTACTGGAGGACTACCTGAGATTAAGTATGACACTTCTTTTTCATATCCGTCTCTTGTGACAATTGCTGCTCATTTAGAACTAATTTCCTAGAGTTTGTGTCATGTATTAGAGGTGCTAGTGAATTTCATTTTTGTCCTTTCTGCTGCTTTAAAAAGGTCATTAAAATCATACTGTTCACTTTCTTATAGGATGGTGGTATAATCTTCAGATGATGGTTTGTATGCATTTGTTTTGGACTCCATCTATCTCCCAGAATTCTCAAAGAATCCCCCAGGCAGGATTTTGGGAGGTTCAGCCCACAAGCGCATACCTGCAGACCCCTACATTTTGCTCACCAGCCTTCTCTGGCCTTTGCCTCCTCTTGTTAGTGTGAAAGAGCTGCTGCAATGCTGTTGCAATGCTTCCTGGGAGTCATGGTCTCGCTGCCCATGTGGCTCTCTAGAGGGCACCTCAATTGTCTTGAGTAGTTGGCAGTCCTCTGTACTGAACTTATTATATACCCCGGCAACATTTATTTTTGAGTAGATCACTGCTACTTCACTGATAACTGTTTCACCTGTTAGTCACTTGACGTCAGATAACGGGTTACTTGGGGACAAGAAAAAGAAAAAAAATAGGATGACTCATTCGAGCTACCGAAACACTTAATTTTCTAAGCCTGTCTGCAAAACTGTAATGATTGCGTAATTGCTGCAATTTGCAAGTTTGTAATTCTAGCATGCGACTTTCTTCGTGCGGTAGCATGGTCAGAGCTCAGCTTTAGCAAGAAGAGACTTTTTTTCCTTGGTGGAAGAAAAGATCAAACCAAACAATGCATATGGAAGGATCTCCCAGACAAGTACTGCTGGTTAGATTGTGGCGGTCTTTTTAGTTGGTTGGCTGGTGTCACGTTCCCTCCTGTCCCTTGGTTGTTTCACCAAGCAAAGGCACAAGCTACATGTTGTTCAGCGGCCACCAGCTGATTACATCAGCTTTGTTCACTATTAATGACAGAGGTCCGGGCAACGTATCATTTAAGGACCAAGTACAAATTGTTTATTGTTACAGTCCGGTCAATGTCGTTAACTCTCAACTAAACAACTTTCCTCCTCCACTCTCAACTGCCTACTATTTTTTTGTCCGGTCAATGTCGTTAACTCTCAACTAAACAACTTTCCTCCTCCACTCTCAACTGCCTACTATTCTCTCTCTCTCTCTCCCTCCTTTTCTTCACCCCCACTTAACTCCACCCCTACCAACTCCTATTGGTGCATGCAAATCTCAATATAAATATTAATGAGCAGGGTGAACACTACAGCTGGTTATAGCATGAGCAAAAGATGGCCCTTGTCGTTAACTCTCAACTAAACAACTTTCCTCCTCCACTCTCAACTGCCTACTATTCTCTCTCTCTCTCTCCCTCCTTTTCTTCACCCCCACTTAACTCCACCCCTACCAACTCCTATTGGTGCATGCAAATCTCAATATAAATATTAATGAGCAGGGTGAACACTACAGCTGGTTATAGCATGAGCAAAAGATGGCCCTTTAGATGTTGTTGGACTACAAATCTTATCCATCCACTACCCATGACATTTCACCCTGCTTTTCCCAACTCACTTGGTTCCCACCCTTCTAGCAAGTATTCTGTGTATATAAAGTGGTGGGCTAAATATTATGTCTATTATGTGTCTTTGGAAGTGGACTGTAATCCACAAAACATCACACTGAAATACATCTGTCATTCTCTAAATTGCTACAACTCTTGTGTTTTTATTTTTGTTGTAATACAGTGCAGCAGCATTTTGATTGCTGTGTCAAGAAGAACATGGAGCTGGAGCTTAGCTTAAATATTTGTTGGACAGTGTTTAATCCAATGTCATAATATTCAACATTTTAGGGTAAATTGTTTCATCATTTTATTTTTAGAAGGAGAAGCATGAAATCAGTATGTCAAAATATCTAAATACCTGACAATTGCTACTGTTTCCCATTTCTAAAAAGTTTCTGTTTGTGAGAGAAGGATGTCTGCTTTTTTAATACAGTGGTGCCTCGCTTAACGAGTGCACCGTATAACGACGAAATCGCGTAGCGATTAGGGTTTTGCGATTGCAAATGCGATTGCATACTGATGGTATGTCTATTATGTGTCTTTGGAAGTGGACTGTAATCCACAAAACATCACACTGAAATACATCTGTCATTCTCTAAATTGCTACAACTCTTGTGTTTTTATTTTTGTTGTAATACAGTGCAGCAGCATTTTGATTGCTGTGTCAAGAAGAACATGGAGCTGGAGCTTAGCTTAAATATTTGTTGGACAGTGTTTAATCCAATGTCATAATATTCAACATTTTAGGGTAAATTGTTTGATCATTTTATTTTTAGAAGGAGAAGCATGAAATCAGTATGTCAAAATATCTAAATACCTGACAATTGCTACTGTTTCCCATTTCTAAAAAGTTTCTGTTTGTAAGAGAAGGATGTCTGCCTTTTTAATACTGGCCTATGAGTTTACACAGACTGAGGTCCCTATGAAACATATCTTAGACAGTTTCACTTTGCTGATGTACCCAATTTAAGTAAAGATTGGGTAAAGATTAAGTATGTTTGCTTCTTGAATACTTTTTGTGTTTGAGCACTGTGTGTGGAGTTCTGCGCAAGTGTAATATAGCTGTGAAACTTGGTACAGGGGATTAAATTCCACATACTGTACTAAGAACCTGCATTTTAAAAGAAAGCAATAATCACGTTTCTAGCTGTCATTAGTGTAAAGATGAGCTTGACATTATGGAGAAAATGCTCCATTCTTTCTCACTGTGTCCGTGCCTGCCTAGCTTAGGTTGGTATTCATTTTTCATGGCATCATCCCTAGGGTGGGTAGTGTTTCTTTTTGTCTCTTAAAAGGGAAGCCTAAGAACTAGTAGAAATTAATTAAACGAATGGTCTTAGGAATTCAGTTGAATGATGGTCGCTGTGTTAGTTCATCCTCATAACTTGATATGGCTTCGAAACACGTCTAGTCCCCTGAACCCTTTGTGTTTGTTTCCCTTTCAGTGGAACTGATGAAGAACCTTCCAGAAGTGGAGCTGGAACCTCTGCCCAAGCCAGTAGTGCAAGTTTTTGCTTCACAATTCCAGAAGTCCGTCTTAAAGCCTGCGGATGTCCCTGAAGCAGACCTTTCAGGAGTGGACCCTACATTGGTGGGAAGCCTCATGCCGTTTCAGAGAGAAGGTGTGAAGTAAGTCGAGTCCTCCACCTCCAAGGAAATGAGCCCTTTGCATCAGGTCTTGTAGTCTGAGTGCTCTCCGTTCCATTCCTCTCTTTGCTTTCTGGAAAAGATCATTTGAATTTCATGCTGTTGGGTCCAAATTGGTTCAACAACATGAGGCTCTCCCAAACCTAGTGTCAGGCCTCCTGAAAGCAGAACAGCGAATGGATGGCATCTGAATTATTTATCTACTGAAATTGTGACCCAGTGATTTTTGCAAAGAAGGGAGGAAGACAATGGGTGCCTCTTTACCATTGAACCAGATTTAAAGTGTCAAGGAAATGATTTGCTTGAGGAAATGGACACAAGAATTGATTAGTGTTCCTCCCCACACACGCATACCTTTTTTTCTCCTTTGGTTTTCAGTTTTGCCATTTCTAAAGAGGGCCGTTTGCTTCTGGCTGATGACATGGGCTTAGGGAAAACCATACAAGCAATCTGCATTGCTGCATATTATCAAAAAGAGTGGCCACTGCTGGTAATCGCCCCTTCTTCAGTGAGATACACATGGGCAGAGGTAATGTCTGCATGTTCAGAATTGTTCAAGTCACTCCGTCTGGGTTAGATTCTTTGTTCTGAGGTGGATACTGTGATTATCACTGCGATCATCAGTAAAAGGTGGGGGATTGCTTGGGTCTCCAAGGGTGGGGACAGGTCCTCAGAACATATTAGAGTTACCCCAACAACACCTTAGAGGGCAACAAGGAAATGTTAAATCCAATTTTCAAATAATTAAAAAAAAACATTAAAAATGTTGGAATGTGTGTGAAGTTTTTGGGGGCCGCATGCAGCCACCCTTGCTATAAAACTATGGACATACTATCATGTAGCATCCCTGCTTTGTTGCTATTTGTGATTCTGATTTATTATGCCAAATGGGTTCAAGTCTTGGTCTTGTATCAGGGACAGGTGGTTTTTGTGGGTCCCAGACATCAGCCTAGTTGTCTGTGAAGATTATCTTTGTTGTTTCTTGGTCCTAAAACCTTTGATGGCAAGGTCACACGGTGAATGCTTCCTCATTAAAATCTTGAAAAGTGGTGTGATGGAGCTTGGCTGCAATTGTTTTGTCTCAAGTACTCGCTTTCTGGGCCTCAGGAATGTTTGATTGTGTGTTAAAAACAGTTTGCTGAGTTTGGTCTCACCTGCAGTCTGAAGTGGTGCAGCCCAGATACGGGTTGGAACAACACTCCACTTAAAACTAGGCCATTGTGAGGATACTTCATAGGACAAATAGATGCTGCTTTAAGAAGATGCTTGCTGCTTGGGTGGGGTGGAGGGGCAGACCTGAGCATGGGACAAACTGGGCACAGAGCCCCTTTTGTTAAGAACAGCAGGTGCAGATTCAGTGCTAACCTCAGTTCCTCAGATATGACATTTGAAATAATAATGGCTTCAGATGGGTACTGTGGGGGAGGAATACATTTAAGGATTCCACAGCACTTTGCTGGCTTAAAAAAAACTTTCAGCTATTCAGATGCAAAACACTGTTTCCTGCTCACCCTCTTCTTCCCTCTTTCTTCTTCTGCCTTAAGGCTTTCCACAGGTGGCTTCCTTCCTTGAGCACGGATGCCATCAGTGTCATAGCAACGGGCAAGGACTGCCTGGTGGCAAGACTGATAAACATTGTCAGCTTTGACCTTCTCAGCAAGATGGAGAAACAGCTCAAAGCCACCTTCCAAGTTGTGATTGTTGT